ATATATATATACTATAGTATATATATATATATATATAGTATATATATATATAGTATATATATATATATATATATATATATATATATATATATATATATATATATCTATGTTAGATATCAATATATAGTGTATGTAATTCCGATATATATATATATACTTAAACACATACATGCATTCGATACAATCCAAACCAAACATCAATTTTAATAGATATACACAATCCCCCTACATGCACTCATACCAAACCCACAAACCACCACACAGATACCATCCACCTATATCAATCATCACCCACACGGCCATCCACTAACCGTAGTCACAGGTATAGGCATGCGGATCTCCGGGGGCACGTCCACATTCTTCGGCATAAACGTCTGGTTCAAGTCTTCCTGAACATCGTCCATATAGTCCGGATAAGGCTCACAGTCGCCGTTGGACGTACGCTCCACACGTGTCACATAACTGTCAGCTATAGTGACACCGGAGACGTTTGTCCACAGCTGAATGGCCCAATACGACATGTCACCTAAGGAGAAAGGTGGTTCAATCTCCCGGTCTTCCAGGAAGGTCTCGTTTTGGCGTAGTTCGATGGTGGGTTGGAAGAGCGCGTCGATGGAGAGGCGGGTGAGCTTTGGGATGGGGATGGGTGAAGGGAGAAGGGCGGGGTATTCGAAAGAAGATACAAGTATACGCATGAGATAGAAGGTACGGGTATACGAATATGATAGAAGACACAGGTATACGAATATGATAAAAGATACAGGTATATGAATATGATACGAGATACAGGTATACGAATATGATATAGGATTTAGGTAAGAGGAAGTGGGAGAGAGATAGCAAGTGCAATAATATATTGTGGGGGATGATAGTACTGAGGTGTCTAGGGTCCACCATAGAAGCAAATACAAATACAATGTGAAGGATCTAAAGGAAATGGTACAAGCTTGCCTTAGATGGAGAGGCGGGTGGGCCCTTAGTACATTTATAGTACAAGTACATACATCGCAAAAGTTGTTATAGGCTTGGATATACAAATATAAATATA